AGAAGCCCCATGTTACCACTTCATGGATTTGGAGATAGTCCTCGATACTAGTTTTAATATTCTTATTTTTCTAAATCAAAATCATTTAGTATAACCAAATCATTAAGACTGTTTTTTAAAGCTAAATATGGTGGTGTGTGTCTGTAATCCCACTCTAGGGAGGCTGAGGCAAGAAGGTCACTGTGGGTACAAGGCTAGACTAGGCTCCAGAGTAGGTTCAAGGCCAGCCTGAACTGCATAGCATGACCCTGTCTTTAAAAAAAAAAAGACTATTGAAAAAAATTTTCTATTGAGAGGTCAGTACAGGTCATTGTCCAACAGACTAGAGAATCATTTTTGGTGGTAATTACCAACAGTGTTAAACACATTGCTTTTCTGTTAACTTGGGGGTTGATAGTTCAGAGTCTGGGTCAGGAGCTGTTGGATGAGACCTGGAAATGTATATATCCAACAAGCCCCAGGTGAGGCTGTTGCTACTTTGAGGAGCCACCTTTTGATGAGTTCAAGGTTCTGTGCTCTCAAGAAGCTGTATTTCTCAAAGGATATTCCTCAGCAACTATAGAGCATTCTTATATTCTCTGGGACACAGTGTTATACTACCTTGATTGCAAAAGAATTTTGAGGGTCATTTTGAGTGCCATTCAGTATTTAACAGAGATGAGATGGCTCTTTGGAGGTAAAGGGATTCTGTGTCCCATTGAAAGGCCGAGCTAACTTACCCACTGTGTGAGAAAAAGACCCTGGAATATGCTGGGCTTTACCTTTAAATCTTTGCAGACTTGTTTCAAAACCATGAAGCACTACATTCCCAGTAGTGTAATCTTCAGCATGGAAGAAAAGAAAAGATTCCTCAAAGGATGACCTTTATTTTATAGCATTTACTATGTGAACTTGAATTTGCAATTTCTTAGGGTAGAATTTTGGTGTAACTTTAGCCACTGTACTTATTGGGAATTTTTTTTTAATTTTTATTTTAAAGAGGATAAAACAAAACATAGCAAAACAGAGCAAAGCAGATCAGAAGAAAACAATGTAAGTGACACAAATTTCAAAGCAAGACAACAGGAAATCTATAGTGGCTACCATAATGTCTGTTGTTTTCTTCTAAATAGTTGTCTATGCTTGTCTTTACTATGTATGAATTCATACAAAGCAAAATAGTATAAAACTGATCAGAACAGAGTAATGAAGGCATTACAGGCCTTCAGAACCAGACAATAGGAAAATCAACAGTGGCTACTGTAATGTGTCTTTTTTTCTCTTCAAAATAGCTGTTCATTTTTCATGTATGTTCAAATTAAAAAATATAACACAGATTAAAACCACTGTGAATAAAGAATAAAAGCATTACTGGATTTCACAGCATGATGATACAGAATCAGCATTGGATACCATAATGTCTCTTTTGCTTCAAAGTAGTTGTTCATTTCATCATGCATAATATAATTGATTAACTGTTAGGAGTTCTATGCATGTATAAACCTCCTCATGTATACCTATCCTTTCTGTATTAGAGGGAAAAACAAAACAAAACACTAGAAAAACAACAAACAAAAAAGACAATAAATAATACTAGCAAAGAGCCCAAAACAATGATGATATAGGCCTTCAAAATAAGGTGGTAGGAGCATAACTAAGGTTATTATTTTACATAGTGATCTTCAAGAGTTCCTCAGATCACCAGACATAAACATGCAAAATTGTTCCAATCCTATGAATGTTAACTGTTTTGTTCCAGGAACTTATAGAATTTTTTGCACAGTCATCTTAGCTATCTTAAATGTGTTTATAGAAATTTAGATATTTTTTCTTTTCCCTTCTTTTTTCTTTTTCCTCCTTTTCCCTGAGATACTTTTTCCCCTTTGAGCAGATTTTTATCCTTTCTCAGTATTTATTAAGGACATTGTATGTTATGTACTCTTACCATTTCTTATGCTAGGGAGACAGTACAATATTTACACATGTGAGTTTGATTTATTTCACTTATGAAGATGGTCTCAAGTTGCATCCATTTACTTATAAATATTTCAATGTGATCATTCTTTATAGCTGAGTAGTACTCCATTGTATAAAAATACCAAATCTTTTTTATCCATTCCTCAGTTGATGGACATTTAGGTTGTTTCCAAGATCTGGCTATTACAAATTGTGCTGCTATAAACATAGGTGCACATATATCACTGTTATAATGTTTTCAGTTCTTCTGGGAATATGCCCAGAAGTGGAATAACTGAGTCAAATTGGACTTCCAATCCCAGCTTTTTGAGGAACCTCCAGGCTAACCTCCACAGTGGTTACACCAGTCTACACTCCCACCAACAGTGTAGAAGAGTGTCCCCCCCTCATCTCCCGCCTCTCCAGCATTATCCTGGCCATTCTTTCTGGAATGAGGTGGAATCTCAGTGTGGTTTTAATTTGCATTTCTCTAATGACTAATGATGCTGAACATTTTTTTCATGTATTTATTTGCCATTTGTATTTCTTTATCTGAGGACTGTGTATTCATCCCAGATGCCCATTTTTGGATTGGGTCTTTGAATTTCAGGGGTCTGATTTTTTTTTTTAATTCTTTATGTTTTAGATAGAAGTCCTTTGTCTAAGGGACAGTTGACTAAGATTTTTTCAAAATTCATGGGTTTCCTTTTTACTCTGTTGGAGATTTCTTTTGACATGCAAGAACTTTTTAATAAGATGAGATCCCATTAACTGGGAATTTTAATTTTTGTATGTGTTAAGATTAATGTCAGTTATTTACTAATTAGGTGGGAAAACAAAATTTCACCAGAAAGTTTTCAGGAATGTAGCAAGACTCATGCATAATCTTGATTGAGTGCCTTTACCATATATAGTACAGCCATCTCAAATCTGCATGAAAATTGAAATAACATTTTATGTACATGTTAGCTCACATGTCTTTAATGATACCTGCAAGTGAAAGGCCTTTTGGAAGGGATTGTTCTTCAGTTCTACTCACACTGAAGCAGCACTCTTTCCTGTATGCATCAGCCTTCCTGTAGGTCTAATATGTCTCCTCATAGGTTAAGATGAAAACTATGAAGTTAGCTGATCCATATAAGAAGCATTTCATTGAATCATTTCAGGGAGTCATTACAGGCCCTTTGACAGCCAGTTTGGCTGACTGTTGAATGCAATGAAAGTTTTAATTTTCCTTAAAAAGGGCAGGAATGTTAGCAGAGTGATGACTCTCAAACAGCATGGTAGAAAGTAGATGAGAGGCTGCTGGGAAAGTTTATTTAGTTCAGTTTTGCGGACACTCAGCTACAGTTTTAGAGTTGTTTTCACAATTTCATGACTCTTTCCAGAGCCATAGGCTGCCAAGTCATACACAGAGCTGGTTTCCGTGTTCTTCCATGGCGTAGGCATATACTCCTAATACTTGGGAGACTGAGACAGGAGAATCACTGTGAGTTTGAGGCCAGCCAGGTTACAAAGTGAGTTCAAACCAGCCTGAGCTGCATAGCGAAACCCTGTCTCAGAAAGACAAAACAAACAAAAGATAATATTTAAAATTCAGAACCTGTATTACAAGACAAATAGCCTATATTTTGCATGACAAAAAACACTTTTCAAAAAAAATGTTTTAAAATTTTATTTTAGAGAGAATAAAACCAAGCAAAATAAAACAGAATAAAGCTTACCTAACCTCAGAATATTTCACCAGATTGTGGTTGACAGCAATAATGACAGCTGCCCTTATCCTTTGGAGCTTCCTGTGCTTTATATGTCTTACTATTTTTTGACATTGCAAATAATATTAATAAAATGAGGATAAAATAGCTTACAAATGCCAAATAGTATACTTTAGCTCAAATTAATGAACTAAAAATAAAATTGGTTTCCTACCCATGGATTTGGTTTGTTAAATTGTAGGCCATACAAGTTCTCCAACCACAGACTACCATGACTTTGGTTTTTCGGGGCAAAACAGAACAGTGCTGTTCATGTGATGGTTCTATTTGTAAACTAGATCATGCTCTGCTTGGCTTGTGAATGCCTGGTAATAATGTGCTTTAATTGCAGGTCAATGAAGTCAAACTAATTGCTTGTTGGGCATTTGGATTGCCTTTTTAATTTGCTGTGTAATGTAGTCTACTAGAAACACACAATATATTATTATCCAAGTAAAACTCATTAAAATCATCTTATACAGAACAGGATGTCTAATACCCTGTTCATAGTCTTGCAAATAGAGCAAAATATAATGACATTACAGAAAGTTGTAATTAACAAGTACTTTTTTAAAGTGCCTTGGTAAAATGAATACTATGGTTTATATTTATTTGTGTGATAATTTTCTTTACCAAGAACTGCTTTCCTTTGTGCCTTTAATGTGAATTCAATGAGGGTAATGATGTGGACTTTTGAGAAAGTCACTTGTTTTAGACTGTGCAGTTCACCCAAAGAAATTAGCATTCAGTCAGCAATTTTGCATTTCATCTAAAAAAGAAATGGGTAGAATTGTAGCTCAGTGGTAGAACCACTGTCTGCCGTGAGAAGGCCTAGTTTTGGTCCCCAGCACTGCAAAAAACAAAAAAACAAAAAAAAAAAAAAAAAAAAAGGAAAGAAAAAGAAACTGATGCTGTTATTCCACAAATACCATTCATTAGAGTTACCCCTTTATGATTTGTAGGAAAGCTTATTCATAAGTTGGTAAGATGGTTAATATGTGTTTTCTTAGAGTTTCCTTGGACTAACAAACAAGGCAACTCTGCACAGAATTTCCTTTCAACTTTTTAATTAATAATTTCATTCATCGAGCAACTACTGAGTGTCAAGAACATCAAGGATATATACCAGTTCATTCTTTTTTTACTTATCATATTTAGCCTGGGGAAAATCTCTGAAAATGAATTTTAAGAGCTTTTAAACATTATTTTAGAATTAAATAATATAATGAAGCAGCTTCTACTAAAAAGTTTTAATAGGTATCTGTATTTTTTTATTTTATTCATTACTTGTTTTTTTCATTCTCTTCATAGATTATTTCTTATGAGGGTCATGGATATCCCATATCTAAATTTGGAAGGACCAGACTGTAAGTAAATTTTTCTTTTCTCCTTGCATCTGCACATTTAAGTGTGAAAGAGATAACAGAAGATATTGAAGGAGGAACTTTTTTTCCTAAAACTGAGCAGTGATTTTGTGGTTGATGCATTTTGCTTAAGTTAATGGGACTCTTCAGCCTTCCATTACTCATCTCTTTACTTAAATTTTCCAGTTAATGTATGTGTTGAATTTTTTAAAAAATACATCATTTTATTATTTGATTTTCCTTCATTCTTATTTCATTATTTCCTATAAATATTTATAACAGATTTTAAGATATTCCATATATATCACTTACTTGTTAAAAATTTGTATTTTCAGTTTCTTGAATATATATGTATATTTAATTTTGTGAGTTGTTTTCCATAAAAACCTTGAAAGGTTGTGAGTGTAACTCAGTTGTAAAGTGCATGGTCCCTGGGTTTAATTTCCAGCACCAAAAGAAAAGAAAAGAAACCCTACAAAATCTCAAAAGTTTGGTTGCTGTTTCTTTTTTCTATTTCATTACTCTTTCTAGTATGTTTATTTGCCTTAAAACTTGTGTCACTGCATGTAAAAATGGGTGAACTGAATTTGGAGATAGTAATTGTTGCGACCATAGTTTGAGGACATATTGTTGTGTTACCCTGCTTATTAGTGTGTCATCCTCACAATAATTCTGTAATGTAAATATCGACATTTCCAGTTCACAGCCACGAATGGGCAGAGTGGTTAGATCTGCTTAGAATTGCGTAGTTAAGTGATGCATCTGTAATTAAAGCACAAGACTTCCTAAAGACTGCCTCTACTAAAAAAAAAAAAAAAAGTCCATTTATTTGGATACTGTATTCTTTAAATATATAGACTGCTAGCTGTATTATTTTTTTTTTAACTTTTTTTTTTTTTTTTTTTTTTTTTTGTCTTTTTCCTTTTTATCGGTACCAGGGATCGAACTCACGACTGCCTACTTGCAAGGCAGGCACTTATGCCGCTAAGCTAAATCCCCAGCCCTAGCTGTATTATTTAAATATGTAGACTGCTAGCTTTAAAAAGAAAAAGTCAAATGTTTAGCGAAGCTTCTTGAACAGAGTAGCCTTTTGTTTCCTCTTTAAAAAAATCTACAGAAGAACTTCATGAAAAGAAAATGTTTCCCTGTAACAATTGTTAGGGATCAAAATTGTAATAGGTCACATACAGTAAAAAGCCTGAGGTTAGGTTGTGGTGACAGAATCCACCAGTCCTAAGAATACGTTTAGTTCTTTGGTACTCACAGGCATTCTGATAATTCCCCAAACTAGTGTGGGCTAATTTCATCAAGACATCTCTGGTTTACCTGCTCGCTTTTCAGCTGTCAATTTTTCATCACATATTTGTCTCCTTAGTACAACCTAAACGTGATCATGTTCTCCATGTAACATTCCCCAAAGAGTGGAAAAGCAGCGACCTTTACCAGCTGTTCAGCGCCTTTGGTAAGTAAAGGCTAAGTATAGATGTACATTTTAGGGTTTTGCTGTTCCTTTGGTGTATATAGTTGATCAGAGGTAGTTTGTTTCAGGGCAGGTGTAAAAGAATGTAAGCATGCAAGGTTTTAATTTCACTCATGAAATTTTTATGTGCTAATTTGTTCTGAGGAGCTTTTACTGACATTTCCCAAAATAATCCTGTTAATCCATAGATAGCAAGATAACATTAATGTGACTGTCTTTACTGCTGACCAGGGAAAATAAGGCTGGTCAGATAGACTGAGAGCCAGTCATTCTTTTGAGAGAATGCCTGTTTTGGGAGGACAGCAGACTCTGCTTGAGGTTAAATAATTGAAACAACAAATACAGGTGTCTGAGCAGAACAAGAAGTGAAATACTTAAGACAGAGCCATTCTCTTTCCTTTTTCATATGTGATTACATTAGTTTGGGCAGGCTTCTGGTTAGGGTTTGTAAAGACCTTGCTGATTGTAAGACTGCAGCAGTCTCTTTGTTCTAAGAAATGAAATATTTAAGCTGTTTTTTCTCTTTGGAAATTCTTGGATGAAGCAGAGGCAGCAAAACCCTAAATGTTCAGTAGTAAGAATGTTTACTAATTATTTATGAATCTCCTCAGCAGGCTGGTATGCAGCCATTTAAAAACTTTTTTTTTTTTTTGTCTTTTTCCTTTTTTATCGGTACCGGGAATCGAACTCACGACTGCCTGCTTACAAGGCAAGCGCTTATGCCGCTGAGCTAAATCCCCAGCCCCTAAAAAACATTTTTAAGCATTTATATTTTAAGAGTAAAAATCAGGTATATCCTAAGATTTCTTTGTAACAGACAGTTTTTTAAAATTAAATTAAATATATATAGAAAATTAAAATATATAGAAGTCAGATTGAAAGAAGGTACCATGCTGTTGCCACTGAGTGTTTTAAATGGATTTTTTTCTTCCTCCAGGCTTTTCTGTTTTATTTAAAATAAATGCGTAGTACTCCTTTATTTTTATTAGTACAGGTTTATAGTACTAATGGTTACATTTGTCACAGGGAGTTATCACATGTTCTCTTTTTGTCCGCCACCCCTCCTATCCCTTCCTGCTCCTTTTGTTTCTTGGTCTACTTCCCATTTGCAAAAACTGTTTCCATTTTTTTTTTCAATCTATTTTGTTTTCATCCTCCTTATCTCTGTTCTCTGCCCCTTTTTCCACCTCTCATTTTCCTTTCCATTTGAAAAAAGATCTCCCAACTTTCTGATATATATCTTTTATTTTGCTTTTAATTACATTTTGGGTTTCCCACATAAAAGAAACCGTGTGATATTTAAATTTGTGTGTCTTATTTCACTTAATATGATTATCTCAAAGTGCATCCATTTATCTATGAATGCTTTAAATTTATCACTTTGTGGCAGAGTAGTGCTCATTTTGTATAAATACATTTCTTTATTCATTTATTTATCTGTTGATATAGGCCAGTAATGGCAAACCTTTTAGAGCTTTCAGTGATAGCGAAGAGCCTGCTACAGCACACACGTCATAGGTTTACCTGTTTCTAACATTTAGCTTGTGTAATTGTGCTGCTATAAACACGGGTATACATGTATCACTATAATATGACTTTTAAATCTCAAGAAGATACCTAGGAAGGGAATGGTGGAATCAAGTTGAATTTCTAGCTTTAGTTTTTGGAAGAATCTCTGTACTGATTTCATAAGGGTTGTACTAATTTATATTCCCAATAACAATGTAGAAGAATCGCCGCCTAAACCTTGTAAGCATTTTTTATTGTTTGATTTCTTGATGGACTGTTTTTTCTGGAGTAAGGCAAAGTTTTACTGTTGTTTTAAATTTGCATTTCTCCAATGGCCAGCATTATTGAACCTTTTTTCACGTATTTATTGGCCACTTGTACTTTTTTCTCTGTGAAGTGTATATTCATTTTAGTTGCCCATTTTTTGATTGGGTCTTTTTTGGGGGGGAATCTACTTTGTTTGAGTTCTTTATATATTTTAGATGCTAGTCCTATAAGGAATAGCTGGAATCTTTTTTCCTGTTGTGTAGGTTGTCTCTTTACCGTTGGTTGTTTCCTTTGCGGTATAAATGATTTTTAATTTCATATGATCCCATTTGTTGATTCTTGGTATGCTTCTTGTGCCACTGGGGTTCTATTCAGAAAGTCTTTGCCTATAGCTGTATCCTGAAGAGTTTTACCTATTTTATCTTTCAGCAACTAAGTGTATCTCGTTTAATGTTGAGATCTTTAATCCATTTGAATTGTACATTGGTGAGATATATAGATCTAGACTCAGTCTTATGCATATGGATATCCAGTTTTCTCAGCACAATTTATCAGAGACTCTCTTTTCTCCATTGTATGTATTGGGCCCTTTTGTCAAAGATCAAATAGCTGAATGGGCCCGGGCTTGTTTCTTCCTCTGTTCTGTTTCGTTGATCCATATGTCCATTTTTTGCACCAGTACCATACTGCATAAGCAAAATATCCTGATATTCTTAATTTTTAGAAAATTATCTGAAAGCAGGTTTATTTTAGAGAATGACCTCGCTCTTTGCAGAGAGATAGTATAAAGTCCTATTCCTGCTTTTTAGTTTATATATAATATGGAAATGTAGTTAAATTTCAAGGCTCATTCCTTTTGGAAACTTGTTGTTTCTCTTCTTGTTATGTTCTATCCCCATGAGTTCCAACTTTAATTAGCTAAATTAAGTAAAATGTTCCTCGTAGTGTTTTTTTCCCCAAATTTAATTAAAAGAAAAAAAGCTGTGTGACCTTGGATAAGTACCCACTCAATGTAAGTTAGCTATTGTTGTTTACCTGAAGGGCGGCTTACATTGACAGAGTTGAGAAGTAATCAAATAATAGGAAGTGACTTTTGTAATTGGGAAAAGTCAGTACGATGCTTTACTATATGGCCAACAGTGAGGTTATTTTTATTTTTCCTTTGTTGGTGATACAAAGCAGTTAGCAAAAATTCCTAACCTATCCAGCCTCCCAACATTTGAGAGGCTGAGGCAGGACGATTGCTGTGAGTTTGAGATCAACCTGAACTACATAACAAGACCCTACGGCCACTCATCCTAGCCTTCTAAAATTTTAGGAGAAATGAAAACATTTTTTATTGATAAATTCTGGTGGTGTTTACTTATTTTTATAAAGTCTAATCTTGTATTTTTACAGGACGAGTGGTAGTGGCATCATGAGGCCTGTGCCTTTCCCTGCTGTTTGCTCCACCTGCCTGTGGCCCTGCTCCCCTTTGTCCTGTCTCCCCACCTTAGTGGTCTCCAGCCCACTCTGTGCTTAACTTTCTGCGAATATTTGCCTCTCTGCACCTGCGTGTAATTAGTTTCTCTGTTGTGCTTTTTGTTTCTCTTTCCCTCTCTGTAGTCTGTTTTGGTTTGCTTTCTGGCTCTTTTTTGTTTAACCCCTTGTCTTCAGACCTAATTTCAACATCAAATTTTTCTTAGTCAAAATGTTTCCTGACTCCTTTTCTTATTCCCTGTTCTTGATTTTCATTTTTGTATGTGTTAGTCTGTTTTGTGTTGCTCATAACAAAGATACCTTTGACTGGGTGACTTATAAGGGTTTACTTTGGCTCATGATTCTGGAGAAACAAGGGTTGGGCACACATTTAGTGATGGCCTGCTTAATGGCAGAATCTCCACACAGAGAAGGACTCACTGGCAAGGGAAAGAAAGCGTGTGTGAGGGTGTGTGTGTGTATCTGTCTGATCTCTCTTCTCATAAAGACTTGTCTAATTCTAATCATCTCTTAGAGGCCTCAGTATAAACTCTATGGTTGGATTAAGTTTCCCCTCTCTTATTATCTCACAATGGGGATTAAATTTCTGCATCAATTGGAGATGTGTGACAAGCCATATTGAAAAATATAATGGTTCTAAAAAGAAATAGTTTGTTTTTAATATACTTGATCATCAGTTTTGTTGAGAAGAAAAAGGACTCCAGCCATGACATAAAATTGGGCTGAATGATGATATGCCCCAGAATTTAATCTGAAAGGACCTTTCTTTAGTTTTTAAAACAAATTTCTAATAATTAATTTTCCCATTTGTTTCTTCTTTTAAAATTTTAGCAGAAATAATGGCTATGGTGGATTTAAGTTTGAAGCAGGCTAATTCTGTAGTGCTAAGATTTTGATCAAATAACTCATTTCTGTAAGCTCTAGCCTATATTGAAATATCCTACATATACCAAGTAACTCTTGCCAGCTCCCTTTATGATCAAATGGTCACTTTACTTTCAACTTGCTATTAACAGGTAACATTCAGATATCCTGGATTGATGACACATCAGCATTTGTGTCTCTCAGCCAGCCTGAACAAGTACCAGTTGGTAAGTATTGCAGACATCTGTTTTGTGTATTCAGTGAAATAGGAGCTGCCCTTAGTTTAAAAGCTGTGGCTTCAGCCAGGTGATTGATGATGATTCACTAGCATTCCTACAAGCTTTATTCTTGAGCTTGTCTGTAAACTAAAGGAAATAATAGTGATCATCATGTATAAATGGGAAAATAAGACACATTCTTGTACTCATGAACTAGAGTCCATAATATATTTTTTCACCCGCCTCTATTCTGTTCCTTCCATTTGTGTGTTTTCTAAAATAGTTGGAGATTTACTTTGAGAACTAGAAATAGTAACTTGAGGGAACACCAAAAATGATACCTGCATTGGCATGTTTGTATCTCTTCCCATTTGTTTATACGCATTTGTGATGTATTTATTCACTTCATTAAACTGATATCAAATATTTGTTTTATAGACAAATGACTGGAATATTTTATTTCCTTTAAGGTAGACTTCTAAAAAGTTGGAATAGCATATCTCTTTTGGACCCTAATTTTGATATTAACCATCACTAAATTCTAGTTTGTTAAGGTGAAAAGTTATTTTAGTGGGGCATGGTAGAACATGCCTATAATCCCAGCAACTCAGGAGACCGAGGAAGGAGAATTGCCATTCATTTGAGGCTAGCCCAGGTTACATACAGAGGTCAAGGCCAGCCTGACTTGTCTCAAAAAACCTAAAAAGAAAGAAAAAAAGTTATTTAATAAAAACATTGAAAAATATATTGTGTTTTTTATTTTGAGATAGGGTCTCATTATGTAGTTCAGGCTGACCTTGAAATCACTATATAGACTAAGTTGGCCTCAAACTTGCAGTGATCCTCCTGCCTCAGCCTCCCAAGTATTAGGATATAGGCATATACCACCATGCCTGGCAAAAATATGTATACTTAAACTATATATTCAAATAGATTTTAAGAACTGTGGTGCTTAATAGTATAAAATGTGTGAAAATATTTTAAGCAATACATCTATTTTTTATTGAACAATGTCCCACACTGAGACGGCATAATTCTGATTATACAACTCTGGAGTAATCGTATATGGAAACTTTGATAAACACACAAATTCAGATCACATTACTTTGGTATTTTTGTTTCACTGTCTGACCATTGCAGGAATACAACCCTGTTGGAGATGTTAAATCCTTAGGTTCTTGAATCATAGTGCTTTACACCTATGTTTGTGTGACCTTGGGTATGTTAATTAACCCTTTCTTCGTAGGACTCAGGATTAGAAATCAAACCCAAGGCCTTGAACATGCTAGGTATGTCAGCATGCTAGCTATATGCTTTAGCACCGAGCCATATCTAGTGCCAAGCCCTCAGCACATGTTATATAATCTTGATAAGCTTCTACTTATCTCTGTGAACTGAGAATAATTGTATGGAGTGATTATTGTTATTGTGAACTTAGATGATACTGTGTATATACAGCTTAGTGTTTTTGTTTGGATCTGGAATGTCCCTCAAATGCGGATGTGTTTGATACCTAGTCCTCAGTGCAGCAAAGTTGAGAGATGGGCCTTTTGGGAGGCGATTGGGTCATGAAAGCTCTGCCTCATCAGTGGATTAATTCATTGATAAATTCATAACTTGACTTCACTGGGAAGTGATGGAAATTTAGGAGGTAGGACCTAGTCGAAGGGAGTGGATCATCTCCTTGGAGACTAGCTTGTCCATGGCCCTTCTCCCACTTTCCCTCTCTCTGCCACACTCCCTCCACCTTCCTTCCCTGCCTCCTCCTGTCCTGACTGCCATGAGGTGAATAGCTTTCCTCCTCCATGCCCTTCCTCTGTCTTGTACTGCCTAACCTCAGGTTCAGAATTATGAGAGCCAGATGAGCATGGACTGAAACTTCTGAAACCACTGAGCCAAAGCAAACCTTTTTTTCTATAAATGTTATTTTCAGGTACTTTGTCACAGAGAGGGAAAACTGACTTGATAATAGCTTTGAGCTTCTGTTACAATTATTTGATAACACCTTAGGAGCACATATAGCTCCGGAAGATGCTTTCGATGCAGACTGTGAATGATAACAATTGGTAAATATTTTAATGCTTGCTCAGGTGTATTTCTGTGACATCCTGAAATCTTTGGAAAAGTGATTTAGAGAAAATCTAAAGTGATCAGGTAACTAAAGAGCCAGAAAGATAACTTCAGTGCAGATGGTGGTGAGGGTATAGCGTGACTCAAGGAATATAGAACTAGAACTCTTGTGCTACAATCTGGTCCTGCCTCTTCTGCTGAGGTCCACACTCCAGCTGCCTTGGTGGTCACACACAGGTACACAGAGCCCTTGGCTGTGAAGGAAGGAGATATGCAGGCCTTGAAGTCACGCTGACCTAGATACAAACTGTGGCTCTGCTCTATACATCGGCCATGTGTCTGTGGGCTAAAGTAAGGTAAACCTCTAAGGCACAGGCTTCTTGTCTGTGAATGGGTGGTGATACTATTTTGCAGGATGGTCAGGAGATAAAATGAGATCATGACGTTAAGTTCACAGCAAAGAGCCTGACACTCCATCTTTGGTGTCTGACAAGTGGTAGGTAATTGTTAAAACATTTAGTTGGCCTCTATGCTTAGAACAGCAAGAATGAGACTATGTATGTTCTTAGGACAACATTGATGTCAAAAAGTGATTACTCCCTTATTAATTATTGAGTCTTCAAATAATACTCTCAAAGTGTGATAGATTTCAAAGAGCTACATGTCAGAATCACATGTAGCTACCAAAGCACTCTGTTGTTGATTGGTTGCTTGGTTGTATTGTCTCCCTAAGGGCAAAAGTAGGTCCATCTTATCCACTATTGAATCCTCTGTGGTGGCACATGGTGTCACATGAGTAAGTAAATGTGTGTCTAAATGAGCAGATGGGGAATGGGTCACGATGAAATTGTGACCTTTGCCTTTTTTCTCTCTGGATTAAGAAGTAGACCATTATCTTTTGATATATGCAACCTTGCTATTAAAGTTTACCTCTCTGCTGTAGTTTCTTTTCCTGCTCAAAAGTCAACGCTTACTGAAGTAGCTGGCAGCCAGTTTCCTTTGCCAGAGCCACCTTTTACTGAGCCATTGCCTCATGCAGAACTGGACTGCTCTCTGCTTCCGCCTCATTTTAACATAAACATCACTTTTTCCGGGTGTTCTCTCTGGCTGCCTTGTAAGGAATGAGACCCTCATTGCTAGTCATATTCAGTACTTGGACATTGACTTGAGTGTCCTTCGATACATTGTAAAATACTACTTCTCTGCTTATAATTGTCACAGAAAATGGCTTGAGAAAAACAGATTTTTTTGGTCATTTTGAAAACTGGAGATTAGAACACACAGAAAATTCTACAAGAAGTTTTTTAAAAAGCAGAAATTGATAAAGGCACTTTAGAACCTAGGCTCAGCCCAAATTTAAGTAGTTGTGTATAGATTCCCAATATGCTCTCTTAGGAGCTTGTTCAGGATGATTGTCTGGATGAGGGAAAAGATCCTTGGCTTTAAATAAGTCCAAAGCATGAATGTGCTTATATTATGTCATACTTTAGTTGCCCAGGCTGGGCTTACCCTTCTGATTGTCTTGCTTCAGTGTCTCAGAGCACTGAAATTACAGGAGTATACTACCACACACAGCATAAATCATGCTTTTCATTGTGTTGAACAGATAAATATAGAGTTGTGGATATAACTCTTTTTTTTTTTTCCTTTGGTCTTTTTCCTTTTTATCGGTACCAAGGATCGAACTCACAACTGCCTGCGTGCAAGGCAGGCGCTTATGCCACTGAGCTAAACCTCCAGCCCTGGATATAACTCTTTTAAGGTGATTATTCAGCACTGAATTTGCTAAGAGGCTGATTTTGCCTAATCTTTTCCAGTGCTTTTTGTTGTTCTTTTTAATATTTGCAGAATATGCAGTGATAATTGCTTTTCATTTGTGGCATTGGTAATTTTTGTCTCCTTTTTCCTTGAATACTATAGCTATGAACCAATTTTACTGATCTTTTCAAAGAGTCAGCTTTTAGTTTAGTTAATTTTACCATATTACTTGCCAAAGTCTATTTTGTTAACTTATGTTCTCTTAAACTTGTTCTTCCTTTTACTCGCTTTGCTTTTCTTTTTCCAGTTTCTTGAAGTATAACCTTATATGATTGGCTTTTGTTTTTGTCTTTGTTTTTCTTTTTTTTTTTTCCAGACTCTTCTAAAATGTCTGAAGCCTGGCTTTCTAGAGGTTGTTGTTAGCAGGTGTATCTTAGTGGCTAACCAGTGGTTTGTTAGGGTTTTTCTAAAACACAGACCCACTTAGGCTTTCTCCGTTTGCCAGCTGAGTGAGCAGACATGTGAAACATTGAGGCAGTTTGCAGATCTGCCCGGTTTTACTTTTGGCTGGGCCTTTTCTACTCTAGGTGCACCAAACCTCACGTGGAGCTAGCAGTGTATAAGACTCTTTCCTAGTCATTGACTGATCTTCCCTTTTTTATGTAATTGTTTAAAACTATTAGCTAGTGCTCTAAGCCCTGCTTAGCAGTGTTCCACAAATTATATTTTACTTTCATTATCTTTATGTTTTATAAGTTTTTCCCTTTGGTTCTGCTTAAGAAATGTAATATTTAGTTTCTAAATGCTTGAGATTTTTCTAGAGCTCTTCTTGTTACTAATCAATAATTCTATCATGATGAGTGACTTTAATAATTTCTCTTTTTAAATTTTATGTGTTAGTACAAAGAGTAAGTTCTATCATGCTGAACATATTGAATGCATTTGAAAATGTGACCTGTAAAGCAGATAGTTTGATTGCTGAGGATCAATGAAGAGTGTTCATATATTCTATACCTTTATTTTATTTTGCCACCATGCCTGGTTTGTTTTTTTTTTTAAATCGGTTTAAAATGTAATTCCATTGTCTCCTAGACTCCATGGCTTCTGACAATGACACATCTGCAGTCATTTGAATTCCCGTATGTGTAATTTATTATTTTTTCCAGCCACTGTCAAGATTT